TTGAAGATGTTCCACCTCCCATCCACCTACAACATTTCCAAGCACCTTTGCACCATCTCAGCTGTGCTTGTGGGTAACACAAAAGAAAAAGCCTTGAAGGTACACTAGATCTACATGAAACCATAGTGTCCTTTGATGTGGTCTTGCTTTTTACTTATATACCTGCAACCAAGGCAGTGGCGACTGTGAGAAACTGATTACAGCAAGACAGCTCCTTACACAACAGAACCAGCCCTACCTCGATCAGATTTGTACACTGTTAGACTTCTACCTCAGCAGCATGTATGTTAAATGCAACTATTGTTTTGGTGTGGGGGGTTGGGTACTGCCATGGACTTCCCATAGCCAACCTTTCCATGAAGGAAGTTAAAAGTAAAGCTCTTTGGCTCTTTCAAATTAATAGCACCTAACCTAGCCACAGTAGATATGTGGATGACACCTGGGTCAAAATCTAAGAAGTAGAAGCCTTCAGTATTCATGTGACCTCAGTGGATAGAAACATAAAGTTTACAAGGGAAAATACAAAGATTAATAGTTTGCTATTTCTGGCTGTGTGCATTGAGGAGGATGGAAGCCTCAAAATTGTAGTTTACTGAAAACACACACACCAGTAGCTACTCTTTGACTCCCACCACCTACTGAAATGTGAACTTGGGGTGATCAGGAACCTGCAACACCAGGCAGAAAGTGTTCCCTCTTATCTAGAAAGGGAAACAATGGAGCACATGCAAGTAAAAAAAAACTCCCCAAAAATGTGGTTACTCCAACTGGTCCTTCATCAAATCAGCAAAGATGCACGAAAATAAGGTGAGAAACCAACAAGGGAGAAACAGAATGAGGGAGAAATGGAACCACATTGTCATCACTTATGTAGCAGGTCTATCAGAGGAACTATCAAAGCATGATATTCCAGTGCACCTGAAACCTCTGGTTGTAGTGAGCAACACCTTTTGTCAAACCTTGGCTCATGTATGGGATAAAACCTGCTAGCATTTAAATACCTGAAGAAGCCTCCTGGATGAGACCTTAACCCTCTTTAAAAAACCTAAAGAAGTCCAGTTACCTTCTTTTCAAGCTCTAAAGCCTCACTGTAGCAGGCTTCAATGACACTGAAGGGAACTTTCTTAGACATTTTCTTACAGTTTAAATGGAACAATGAGTCAAGTTTACAAATTGACTGGTGAATCTTAGGAATATATTTTCTCCAAAATTATTAAAATATTCAAATGAATTGGACTCTTTAAATGTCGTGTATGTTGATTAATGTGTTTGAGTGAAAAGCATGTCTGTTTCTGTCTCCTCAGTGTTTGACTGGGTAGAGCAATACGCCCCTGGGTTTAAAAAGTCCGTGGTGGGCAGGGACATCCTGGCCCCTCCTGACCTGGAGAGGATCTTTGGGCTCACTGGAGGGGTAGATACTATGCACTGTGGATGCTGTAGCACTGAGCAACACTTTGAATGTTGACACACCACTTATTTGTTTGACACAGTCAGCTGTTCACTGGATAAGGAAGTCATTTGCATTATTTTCAGTGTTCAGTCACTAACTGCCTACTTTGGGACGTGGCTGTTGTATAAGCAGTTAATGGTGACAGGCAGCTTTACTACAGCACGAGCCAGAATCAAAGTTCACACACTGTGTGACACTTAATCGCTTAACTGCATTTGCTTCTGCCTCCTTTGTATGAAGAAAACAGTAATTAACCACAAGGGGGGCTATTTTTCTACTTATAGCCCTGGAAGGAAAAACAAAAGGGGAATTTAAACTTTTGGTCTTGTTTTTATAGAATATCTTCCATGGATCAATGTCACTGGACCAGCTCTACTTAACACGACCCTTGCCCTCTCTCGCAGACTACCGCTCACCAATTAAAGGGCTCTATCTGTGTGGCAGTGGCTGTCATCCAGGTTTGCTTTTAATGCTCAGCTGAACGCAGAATTGCAAATAAGGCTGTTTATTATGTTGTACAGTAATAAATACAATGTTAGCTGGTCTTAGAGAGCACACTTAATGAACCTTTGATCTTAAGATGTGCCCATGCCTTCACTGCTGATGATAAATGACGGCCAGGATGGCTAATTTTTCCATGTCGATATGTCATTTTTAGGTGGGGGTGTGATGGGTTCCCCTGGCTGGAATGCAGCCCTTACCGTCATCGCTGACTTGAAACGTCGCTGAGGCCATTATCAGATAACATTATCAATGTGTGGTCCGCTTATCTATGCACTACATTTCTTTAGAGTGAATGTGACTAGCTTAAAAAAATCAATGTCATATTACAACAAAAACCAGCCACTTGTTAGATTAACTTATGATTAGATCATTATGATTTAATAGTTAAATGACTGACGTAATAATACAAATGACATGGGATTAAAAATGACAAGTAGAGCGCAATAAAACAGGTCTGGACAGGAAGGCCACGTGAAAGGTTTACCAGTGGAAAAACACAAAATCAACACCAACCTGTGAGCCACTGGAAAATTACTGATGCCACCAAAGCAAACTGAATGCAAACGTATTATTAGAAAAACTAATTCTTGTTTTAATTAAATTAACAAAAACTGTGAAGTGATGATAGTCATGCACAAAGGAACATTTTACTACTCTATTTGAATACTTTTAAATAAACTGAAGCCATGTCTAATTTCCTTTAAACCATGTATGATTGTTTGTTTCTTATGTTGCATTTATTTCACTTGGGGCTGATGTCACAGCTTAGAGTGTCATGATACTAAAACATAGGTGTTTTCCAAAAGAAATAGCTTGAAGCAATTGTATTTTACCCACATTATAATATACAATTCTGTTTTAATAAATTTCTGCTGTGAGACATGCCCTGTCCTGTCCTGAAATTAATGGTGGATAACTCACAAAATGTGACCTAATCGGTTTTAAATTCAATCTTTTACTATGTATCTTTTGTTGGGTATTAAAATCATTTTAACAGCTTAGAAATATCTTAAAAGCTTATTAATGCAAATTAAAGTTGATTTTTCTTTTCCACACCCTGAAAGGATATTCTTGGGGGATACAGGAAATACAGGATACAGGAAAAGAAGGCCGTCGCTTCCCTGAGCAAAGACCACAACATCACTGTTTTACCAGCTGATAAGGG